TGGGCTTGTTTATAGAAGCATGGGCCACTCAAAAGAACTGTGTCAGTGAAAAGCCCACCCCAGCATGGGTAACAACTCAGCTCAAGCCACATCTGTGGACCTCCCTTTACTACGCGCATAGGCAACTGCACTCGAGTCTGCCTCTTCCCAAACGAATTTGTTTACTACTTACCTAGCCTTAGGAAGTGGTTTTGTGATTCTTGTAACTTTTTGAGTTTTTCCCAGCATTGTAAATTTACTTAGCTTCCCAAGTCTGAAGAGCCTCTCCTGTCTCTCGGGAAATGTTTCAATTGGGAGGAAATGGCTGCAGAAAACAAGGTTTCATTGTAGATAGAAAGCAGAAGGAGATTCCAAGAACCACGTGCCAGAGGAGAAAGTTAAGACTTGAAACTCCAAGTTTAACTTGAGAGTTTAATAAAAGAGAAGGCACTTCCTGTGACCTATAGGCTCCAGGAGGTCACCTGAGATCATAACTGAAAAGACGCTTTGGTCTAAAGAATTTAGGAGATTGTCTCTACAAGCAGAGAGATGACTCATGCCACCAGACCAGGAGATCAACTCTCTGTCATAAGGCTCCAACAGCCCTGAGAAGACAGGGAGCCGGAGTTCATAGACTTATACCCTTTTATGGCCATCAGGTATTTCAGTCTGTTGTCAAAAACATCCCCAAGAAGCCAGGTAGACTTGTATGACTTTTATCCCAGCATTTCAGAGGCAGAGCCAGGCAGATTTCTGTGAGTTCCGGACCAACCTGATCTATGTTCTGGGGAAGCCAGGGCTACATAGCCAGACCCTGTCTCAAAACAACAGAACAAGCAAACGACACAAAATACTCGCCCCTCCCCCACACCTATCAACTCCTTCCACCCTTGACCCTCCTTCCGCTGTCCACTTTACCCTAGATACACAGGCCCTCAAGCCACTCCTGCCCCTCCCCTCACAGCATTCCTCCCACAACCTACCCAGCTCCTGCAAAACCTTCCCTCTCATTTTCCTCTGCACCCAGCTGTCCTCCCACCCCAGCCTCTCTGAACTGCTGGACCTGTTGTGGAGTCCAGGTCCCCTTTTCACTGTGTGCCACTTCGACTTCCTTAAGAGCCCATGAGGTGGCTCGGCAGGTAAAGGGACTGGTTCCCAAGCCTGAAGACCTGAGTTGGACTCCTGTGAAGACCCACATGGTGAATGGAGAGGGGACCGGGTCCTGCAAATTGTCCTCTGACTTCCAAACACATGGGGTGGTGCTTGAGTGTCCAGTGTGCTCAACTTATAAACAAGTCCAACAATTTAAAAGATACCCCCTTAAAAAGCAAACTTTGTTTCTTTTTGTCAATGATTGGAGGTAAACAGGCTCTCCCAGCAAAGAAATGTCTAGACATTAGTCTGAAGATTTTTGTTGTTTGTAAAACTGGACCCATCATTTCAGTTCAGTTCTCACTTGCCTCTTTACCTATGATGACAACAGTCTCTTTGTCTTTGTGTGGTGTTTACTATGTGTCACCCTGTTAGGTGCTGAGGGGTGTGCTTGTGTAGAAAAGATTAAGACCCTTCCATGCTGTCAAAGAGCTGGGTGTGGGAGGCAGGGCTCACGGAGAACAATGAAAGGCAGTATGTGATTCAGAAGAAAATAAGTAGTGCAGGCAATAAATGCTATAGAAGTTTCGAGGAGGGAGAGGGATCTGGGAACTGGGCGGGGGATTGAGAAGAGTGTGAGTTTCCGTGGGTTTGGGAGGATGGTTGGCTTCTGCAGATGTGAGGGAGGGCACGGAATTGGAGTGTGTGTGCCCACACACTTAAAGGCACATGCAAATGCCCGACTTGTTAGCTGTTAGCACCAGTATTCAGTGGCTACTTTCTGTGCATCCAACATTCTGTATTTAATTCTGTATTCAATTCTGAATACAGAATTCAGTGCATTTGAATGTTATAACTCTATGATTCAGATGACACTATCTTTCAACTAATAGATAAGAAATAGAAGCTATGAAAGGTTGAGCAAATTACTAAAGGCTACCAAAGTAACTGGCATAAATAGGATTAGTTAGAATGTGTATCTTTTAATCATTTTTAAAGATTAATTTATTTTATGTACATGACTGTTTCACCTGCATGAGTGTCTGCACACCACCACATGATTGCCTAGTGACTAGAGGCCAGAAGAGGGTGTCAGATCTCTGGAACTAGAGTTACAGATGGTTGTAAACCACCATATGAGTGCTGGAAACAGAACCCAGGTCCTCTGCAAGAATAACAAATACTCTTAACCATTGAACCAGCTGTCCAGCCCAGAATGTACACTTTAAAACTATTTGGGCGGGGCGGAGGGGGGCTATACAAATGGATCAGCAGTTTAAAGCACTGGCTAACTCTTGCAGAGGAAGCAGGTATGACTCTGAGCAACAACATGATGGCTCACACTTCAGTCCTTTATGGGCACCAGGTACACAAGTGGTACACAGCCATACATGCAGCTAAAACATTCATGCACATACAATAAAAAAATAAATTTGTAAAATATTGAAGAAAAACCTACTTTGTCTAACCTACGAAAAAAAGAAAAAGGAATCTGTGGCTCAGGTCAAGAAGTTGGCCTGGTTCCAGTCATTAAAGATAGTCATTTTGCACACACAGGAGTGGCTAGGCCAAATTCCCTACTGAAGGTCAACATGGAAATGAGAGGGATTAATGAAGCCATTATTGAGAGCTATACCCTCATCTTTACTTCTTTGAAGCTAGGAACTTGAGGCCGCCAGATGCTACATTCCACTGCCAGGAGCTCCCTCGCTTTGTTCTTTGGTCATATTGCCGAGCTTTAGCTAAACACCTAAGGAGAGCCAGTGAGCCTCTGAACTGATTCTTGTTTGTTGCCATTCTTTATTAATTAGCACTTGGAAAACATCATGCCTGCTGTGGATGCTTCACAAAGCTTGGAATCAGACAAGCTTGCCCGGCTGTATTTGCGAGGTTGGAAAGGATGGGAGGGTAGTGGCCTGATAATACAGTCGACTGGATTTTACATTGGAAGACTGACATGCAGCCAACATCTGAAAGTGTTTCCTAGGCAAGGTGCCTAACTGTGTGTTTTTTTTTTTTTCTGGATATTTTTCTAACTTATGTGAGGCTTCAGTAAATATTAAACCAATATGAGGTACATTCTGAATAGTTCTTTCCTTAATTCCTGATCCTAAGAAGAGTCAACACAGTCACTAGGTAGAAAGTGCCTGGAAGAGGGGGCCCCTGGACACTAGCTAGCACTCACTTTGTCCAGGCTTTCTTTCCAAGGCTGGGTTAGGAAGCAGCTGCTCTCTTTTGGGGAGGGAGGAGGGAGAGAGGTCAGGGGAAGCTCCTTTGCCTCTGCTGTGGAAGACTCGGGGACACGTGCGCGCACGCGCAGACACACACACACACACACACACACACACACACACACACACACACACACTGAGGGAAGGAGAGAGCAAGAGACAGAGAGAGAGAGAGGGAGAGGGAGGGCGAAAGAGACAGACGCACTAGAGAGACAGAGGGAAGGGAGAGACAAAGAGAAAGAAAGAGACAGAGAGAGAGAGAGGGGGGGGGGATGGGAGAGAGCAAGAGAGAGCCAGAGTGATTTGTGAAGCATGAGGAGAGAGGAAAAACATCAGAACCGGAGAAGCCCCCAACTTAGGCACTGAAATAGTAAGTGAGGCTTTGACTGGAAGGGTGAGAGATGATACTTTTATGGTTTTTTATCAATCTCCCATTTCAAGGCAGAAGAGAGGAAGCGGGGCGGGAGCACGCTCCAAAAGTCAAAGCCAGTGTTTCAGTAGTTTCATAGCCTTACTCCTAGAAGTTAGCGAGGGCCAGCAGGGTGCCTAGTATGTGCCCAGGTATACAAAGTAGTGGCCTGAGAACCGGGTCACTTGAGGAGTTCCTTCTCCAGGCTTAGGAGGGGAGGTGAATTCAGTCACAGAGGCTAAGGAGCTAAGCTTTGCAGGCGTGCTCCCATGGCGTGCAGAAGACCAGGCAAGGAGAAGGAGGAAAGAGGCGGGGATGGGGCCTCGGGAGGGCAGCGGGGTGGGGGGGGGTGAAGAGAGGAAGCAGGGCGGGAGGTGGGAGTCGAGGGCTACGTGGGGGTAGGCTGTGGAGGAAAGGCGGCGAGGCGGGGCAGTGGTGGCTTGAGGACGTGTGTCTGTGCGAGCGGGGGGAGGATGGTGGTGGTGAAGTGGACGGGAGGAGGGCCTAAGGTGGAGGGAGTTGACGACGAGGGGGAGGAGAGAGGGAGGGGAAACCGGAGGAAGCGAGCGGCGGCTGCTGGGGGAGGAAGGCAGGGAGGAGGAGCCTTGAGCCGCGGCGGTGGCAGCGGCTGCTGCGGCCGCCTGGGGAGCCCAGCCGAGTGCCGCCTGGGGCTGCGGGGAGTGCGGAGAGACGGAGAGATCGGTCGAGCCCGGGCGGCGGGACCGAGCAGCGG